AAAAAGAAAACGTAAATATAAATGAGGGAGTTGTGACTTGGAAAGAAATAGGAAATGAATGTGAAATCGAGCTAGTTTGAGCGTGAGATATAAAAAAAAAATGTGCGCGGACTAGTATAGGCGATGAGAAAAAACATTGCATCTACGAAATGAGTTTTCTCGTGATTCGCTTGGACATTTTGATTTCGTTAATAAATAATCCCGACAGCGATTGAGTGATATAAATAAAAAAAAACTGATTCTCTTAATCTAGATCCGGAAATTTTTGTTAGTTTATAGCTATATTATTTTCGAAAAACGCAATGAAGTATAAGTTTTTCAAAATATCTTTATGATTATTAAATTATTTCATTTGAAAGTTTATATTCTATGATATTAAATTTGATTTTAGTATGCAATTTATAAACTTCACATTAATATAAGATAATTTACTATATAATAAGTATCGTGAGAAAAAATTCTATAAAGTTTTCATTCATATTTTTTAAGATTCTCTACTAATATTATTCTTGACTGTAATTTTTTAATATGTCTGATAAAACACAACTCAGATATAATTAAACTGTAGAGAAGAAATATAATAATAGAAGACAAATGAATATTTAGTTTATATATATATATATATATATATATATATATATGCTTTAAAAACTAAAATATTCTTAATATTTAATTTTATAAATGTATTAATTTAATTTAGTGACATTTTAACATAATTTTTATTACTTATACTAATAAAAAAGGAATTAGGAATTGTTCCAAAATTAAACCAAATTAATTAAAAAAAATTAAATCAAAGAAAAATTATAGTATCTGATTTGTCCTTGGTATATATATACTTTCGTGTATTAAAATTTTGTATGGTATACAAACAATAATTATATATTTATGATGCAGAAATAAATAATATTTAAAATTTTATTTTAAAATATTTTAAACTTTTATTAATTAAAAATTAATCATTTTTATAAATTAATTAATGACTATATTTTAGTAATTCTTTATTATTTCACGATTAGAATCATTTTAATATAATTAATTTAATATAATATAATGTAATGTAATTTAATATAATGTTTGTAATATATCATAGCACAGAAGACTTATAAACTGAAAGCAGAATAATATCAAAGAAAGAGGACAGAACTTTACACAATTAAATCGCAAATTAATTTAATAAAGAGTGACTCGTTAAAATAATAGTACTGGCCAATATAGTTGTTCAATATTTGTTCAATACAAACGGGTTGCTATTTTCGTCTGATGTGAGTCACTTTTAACTAAAAATTCTGTTCTTCACTGAAAATGAAAAAAGAGACTTTATTCGAACGTGTGGGAGATGGGAGATACCTTCATGGTTGCCTGCTTTTTATAATTAAAAATCAACAGCCTTCGTTCGCATTTGTCAGACAATACGAATTGTACTGATGCTGAATTCTTCAAGCAGAGAAAAAAATTATATGCTTCTTATATTACACCAATATATTATTTAAGAAATTTTCTGAAAGTATAAGAAAGATAATTTAAAATTTTAATTTATGATTCTTAAGTTTGCGAGTAAAAAATTGAATAAAATAAAATACTATCTTTAGGAATAGTATATATTTGTCACTGTACAAAGTGATACAAAATATAAAACTAAAGTAAAATTGTAAGTTTCCAAAATATCTACATACTAAAATTAATTATGTAACAAATTAATAAAAATTAGTAAGTATTGTATAATATCCAATTAAATAACATGTGTTTACAAATTTTATTATTCATTATTTACATTATTTATTCTTTATTTAATGATCAACTCTTCTCTTACAAAATTTTTATTAAAGTTATAAGACTAGAAAATAAAATTTCAATTAATAATGATTTAAGAACTTTAATGTGACCTATTAATTAAATATATAGTTACTTATTTAAATGTATATTTAACGAAATATACAGAAGCTTAATACAAAATTTTTACATATTTTGAAAGTATAGTGCATGAAAAAGTAAATACGATCATGTCAGTAATTTACATATTAATCATAAGTTGAAAAGTACATCGATTAGATATTTACTTATTTTTGTGACTTGAACTTGTTAGTCCAATTAAAGAAAATAAAATCTAAACGTTCTTGAAATCGATTTAAAACGCCAGCTTTAAAAATAGAATTTTCATTAACTCTTTTTTAAAGTTGATGTATTTAATTTACATTATTAGATAGTCATGGATAAATACATTGATTGTACGAACTGTACAAGGACATTAATATTGAATAAAATTAAATAGAACTAGTATTTTCAGATTTAAATTAATTGTAATTAAAAACTTAAACATGTATATAAATATAATATATGATGCGTTCTACATTTTCATATATAAAACTATATAGAAGAATAATTTATATCACAATAAATGAATCAATATACGTTCAATTTTTTAAATATAATCTCAATACGAATCTCTTCATTTTTTAAATTAAGACTGTTAAATAAATATTTACTATTGAATATTGTACACATATAATCGACGCAATTTAGATAAAACGTAACTGAATCACGATTTATAGTGATTTTATAATATTCAATATATTGTTTCGGTTTAAATAAATCTATATAATATAATTTTTCTCAATTTTCAATAAGATCTTTTTATATGCTTTAATTATTAATAAATATATTATTGATTACTTAAAGCTTAAAGAGTTTGTAAAATTTAAAAATATGCATAAAATTTCTAACAGTGAAAAAAATAAAAGCGATTATTTTAATTAAACTATTATGCTTCAAATACAAAAATTTAACTATTATAATTAGATTCTAACAATATTTTTAAAATGTTGTAATTGTTGTATCCGTTTTAGTCTGTTAATTAATTTCTCAATGTTATAATATTTGATACTCATTCTTTTTTCATTGCGCAACAGTATAATAAATACAAAACATAAAAAATATGTTTAAATTTTTTCAAAAATAATTATCTTAAATAATGGTTTATAATACAATATTTTACGCCATAAATTTAGTTATTTTTAAAAATTAATTGATTATTAATTGATAATTAATTAATTAATTATTATTTAAATTTATTTAGCTTTAATACGTACTAAAGTATTACCATAAATTTTTTAATTTGAATAATTTATTTTAGATATTTAAATATATATTAAGTATTTAATGACTTTTCTTCAAATATCATTAAATCCTTTCTTTTTGTAACTTCCATAAGCTACTAGTACAATATGTTAAAAAAAAATATTCCTAATTTAAATACAACATTTTATATAATATACTTTTCTAAAATATTTTATTTCTAAATTCGATAAAATAGACTGTCATCCTTTTTAACGTTTGTTCATTTAACAAAAAATAAATATAAGTATATTTAATACTGTGTTACCGAAAAGTGTACAAAAATTATTTTCTTTTAAAAAGTTCATTATATAGATATTTAAATTTTTATCATGATGACATATTTTTACGAATTTTATTTTATATTGATAAATAATAACAAATATACAATCAATAAATAAAAATAAACAATATATAAGTAACTGAAAACATTGATAAAAATATACGTGTAGTGAATAATGCCCATTTGATGAAAAAAAAAATCAATCGCAGCGGTGTTGGCCTTCATTGCTTTCAAATAAACATAACCGATTCTGCGGATTCTTTTCATATTCAAATAATTTAGGCTTTCAAGACCCTCGTTCATAAATGTGTATTAAAAAGTACAAATGTGAGCCATAACAAAAAAAAAATGAAAAAAAACTTGGATATTACTCTCATGATTCAGTGATTGAAGATATGTACGAATAATGTTACGTTATGAGTCTATTATATTATTGTTAAAATTAGAAACAATGTATTAGTTATTTTTATTAAAACGTGCTCGTATATTTAATATTAGAAGATTTAATATTGAATTAAATGTAACGGCATGTAATTACCCATTTATGAAAGCAATGGCAACAAATGTTTATTTTGTGTAGTGATGTAAATTTTAAAACGTTGTTTTTCGAATGACAGGGAATACGATGTAAATAATTCTATGCTATTGTTATATTAAATTTATTATAATTAAAAAATTTATAGTAGTGATTTATTATGAAATCGCATACTGTTTTTCTTAACATTTATCTGTTAATTAAGAATTAATAGCTTGATTTGAAATCATAAAAAAACAAGCATTTATCTATAGAATTTAATTTTTTTTTTTAATTTTATGAAAATGTAAGCAAGTAATTTATAAAAATTTTACTCATCTTATTATACATTTTTATTTAAAAAATTTCTATATTACATTCAATATTTTTAAATGAAATACATTTACAGTTATTTTAAAGAAACATGTTAGACAAAAATATATTATCAGTTAAAAAATTATTAAAGTACAAATATGTAATATTAAAATGTATATTTTTTAAATATTTTCTTTACAAGGATTAATTTCGTAATATTTAATAATTTTTAATTTTTCTAATTATTTATTTATAAAAAAGAAGTATTTAACCATAAATTATAATTATTAATAGTTCCCAATAAAAATTATGTAAAAAAATCTTTCGCAAAAAATTATATATCAATAGAATAGTTCCGATTAACGTTTAATAATTTTAATATAATCATTTGTAATATATTGATTATACTTTTATATCGGATTATTATTTTACATTAATAAATGTATTAGTTTGTATTATAAATTAACTTACTAATATAATAATAAGGATATCAAGTAAATAATGCAAAAACCTTTTAAGTTCTTTGTATTAATTTATTTACATTTAACTATTTACAAATTTAATCATTTCTATTTTTTTACTTAAAAATCTAAAATAATCCAAATTTATATACAATCTTTGTCATTCGTCGTCATACTAATGTTCATTGAATATAAACTATGAAATTATAAATTGATCACACATTTGTTTCGCAGACATAAAAAATATACATAATTAAAGCATTGAATTTGCAATACAAGGCACACTGTTCACATATGTATAGGTTTATAATTATTAGCTTTTAAAATATAAATTTGGAACGTGAAAGTCATAAAGAAAGCTGTTATATAAAGTTTTACAATAAGATTTCGCTTCTTCAATAACAGTTTGTATTCCAGTGTCCATAAGAATTTTCGCAATTTCTAAATTTTCGATTTTCATCGCGTGGAATATGGGAGTTCTGCCAACATCGTCGCATAAGCATACATTAGCGCCATATTCGACCAACAACCTAACTATTTTCACGTGCTTACGTCGGATGGCATTGGTTATAATTGGGCAATTCAAATCGCCTCTGATATTGGGATCAGCACCTAAAAATGAAGTATTACGGTTCATGACAACATCGAGATGAAATTCTCTAGCGTGGACTCAATCAAGAATGAAAATGTAAAGTTCACTTTAGAAATTGTAATGATTAGCGTGTTCAAGTCAATCAAGAATGAAAATGAATGTAAAGTTCACTTTAGAAATTGTAATGATTAGCGTGTTCAATGTAATATTCAAGTGCTCGGATATTAATGATAAGGGATAATATTATCAATATCGCACGTGAAATATATTAAAGTTTCATTTAGTAAAGAATGAAAGATTTGAATATATTTTTTAAATATACGAAACCAACTAGAGCCCAGAGCTTGTGCATACTACGATATAATAAAACATATGCTTTACCTTGCTTCAACAGGTATTCGACCATGTACTCGTCACCGTGATAAACGGCAGTGTGTAGAAGCTTCTTCCCAAACTGATCTTGAGCGTTGACGTTAATTCCGTGGTGGAGAAAAATTCTTATGACGTCTCTGAAGCCGCGCTTGACGGCTACCTGCAATGGTGTCATTATGCTCTTGGTGTTGGCTCCATAGCTTAGCAGGCAGACTATCATCCGCAGCTGGTTATTGAGAATGGCCATGTAAAGGGGCGTACGTCTCCAATTGTCTTCGGGATCAATTTTGCAACCGCAGGCGACCAGCATGTCGACGGAACCGAATTGGTCTGTGCGCACCGCGAAATGGAGGGCGCTCATGCCGTCATCATCGACAGACTTCACCTGGGGAAATTGAAAAAATTGTTGCATTATCAAAGTTTCGGCGTGCTCAGTATACTTTTAATTTCAGATTAACTTGCTGATTAAGCAATGGATCGATTCAATACATGGTAAAATTTCAATTTGAAAATAATAATATTCAACTTTTATAAGCATTAATTTAAATTTTCAAAAATTTCATCAGCAATCTTGAAAATATAATTATAAACAAAATTTATATAAAAATGTTTTAGAAATTCTCTTTGAGAGACAGTTAAACAGCTAGTTAGAAATTTATCAATACAGTCCAATCAGAAATAATCTATTTTCTTATTACATGTAATGATGTGTTTAAATATATTTCAGCTCAGAATTTAATGCCTCGACTTAATTATAATTATAATTAACGGAATTCTATTAAGTCATTAAAGTATTAATTATACGTGTTATGAGGAGATTAATGTCTATGTACGAATTACGTTAATGATAAATAAATGTAGATTAAATTAAATTAACAAAGTAATTTACTAGAAGCTATCGTATACCATGAATAAGTAAGTGTCCTTATTGTCATACGTGGAATTTGCTTTACCTTTACCCCAGCATGAAGAAGCATTTGTACACAGTCCTCACGATTGTATTTACAGGCTATGTGAAGAATTGTTCTATTTTTTTTATATCTCATGTTCAAATCAGCACCAGCCTTCAATAATTGTGGTATCGCTTCTTCCACTCCCAGTTTAACAGCCAAATACAGCGGACTTTCACCGTTATAGTCTTTAACATTGACCGCCGCTCCGTATTTCAATAGCAACTCGACCATATTCTTCGAGCCTTTTTGCATGGCTACGTGAAGCGGTGACAGCTTAAAACTTTGTGAAAAAAGAACATCCACTTGAGCCCCATTACTTATAAGCATCTCTGCTGCTCTGAGTTCATATTTAGCAAGGCAGATATGTAATGGCAGAACATCCGCACTATCGCTAAGATTTGGGTCAGCACCACGGGACAATAAGTATTTTATCATTTGTAGATTGGAGCGAATACAGGCAACATGTAGTACTGTTTCATTGTTATTATTCATTGCGTTTATATGCGTCCTGCTTTTTAAATAAAATATGTAATATAGTTAGTTATTATTCGTATTGTAAAAATCGTGTTGAACTTGCAATAGGCAAAATGTGAAAATATTTCATGGTATAAATATTGTTATTTATCTAATTATTCCTTACACCCGAATCATAAATAAATTTTTAATAATTATGAAAAGATCTTAACATTGAAGAACCTACTAATATTTCTTCTAAACTACTGAATAAATTATAATATATTATAATATATTAATAAATTATAATTATATTAAAAATAGAACTTTCAGTTAAATTATATGAAATTTTGAATTTGTTGAAATAATAGATGTAATTAAATAAATTACTTTAATTAGGATAATTTGTAATAATATTTGTAAAACCATAAAGTAAATTAGCATGGTATAATTATCTATTGACATTTCGATTATTTAAATAATAAATATTTTAATTCCTTGTTTATAGTAATCATTAAATGAAAATCGATTTACATTTTTTGTTTATGTTAATGAAATATTATGGACAATTTAATGGAACATTTAATATAAGTATTCGAATAGACAACTTACTTTATAACCAGATCAGCGATTTCCAGCGAATTGATATGAACAGCCAAATGAAGAAGCGTATTGCCACAACATTCGCATCTTTGGTCCATATTTGGATATAAGCGAAGAGTGTGTTTAATCGTTGCAGCATCATTGTTTTTGAAGAACTCGCACAGGCGAAAATATGGAAAATGCTCAGTAAATATCCAATCAATTATATAATCGATTTTTGATTTGCTGGCGTAGTCAGAAAAATGCATGCCATTGTAGAAGTCAAAATTATTAAAATTTTCTTCTATATTGTAATTGATATAATATTGTGGAACTTCTATTGTTTGCATTATATCTCTGTCAAGTAGTTGGTATTCCATTTTTTGTTTATAAATATTCTAGTGAAGTTCTTTGGCCTGAAATTTAAGCAATATATGTATATTTATTACAAAAAAAGAGAAAAGATAAAATCGCATTAGTTAAACGAAAATAAATGTTATAAATTAAAATTATAAATGTTATATTTAATTATTCATTAACATTTTCAAAATATTTCCTATACAAATTGCAGTTTAATATTAATTTATGTATATTAAATACAGAAAATAAAATTTATTAAATTTACTTACCAATGGACGTATATACATATATATAATTTTCGGATGGCTGGTTATTTATAATTCGTATCACTTCTTCAAATTTCACATAAATTCACTGGATCAATATAAATTATTGATCTTATAAAACACGAATGAACACAACTCTTGTACACACTTATATAGTAGTGATTGTATATATTTATTGCAATAGATAATTTCTCTATGTATCCAGTTTCACAGTTTCAAGATCGGAAATTATCTATACACTTATCGACAGATATGAGAAGTTAAGAAACTTGTTATCCCTTTGGCGTTTTGCAATGAAATGTACAATTTACTTCAGATCCACAATTTATATAAGGGTGTTGCTTGTGGCCAAAAAATAGGGGAAGGTGTGGATATTCAAATAGATAAAGTGGCAAATTTGTAATGCCCCAACGAAAGGATTATCGTGCTAATACAGGTACGAACATTTTCCATGGGCTTATCAGGTATCGCCTATGGGCTAATACTAAGAATTGCCGGATTTATGTAGTCTCTTATATCCGGTACTTATTAAATTTATTGGAAGCAACAGAATTTACTATACAAGGAAATGAATTCGTGGTATCAATTAGTTTAGTTTCGACAAGTTGATGTCCATTACTACACTCTAATATAATTCAAAGAATTCATTTAAAAATATTGCTACACACGCACACACGCACACGCACACAACCAAGCATATACAATTTTTCCTTTATATACTTGTCCATTCTTGTAAAAATTATATAGTTATTTATATAGATAACAATTTATCCCCGTGACAATTATTTAATTGGAAATAAAATTTAAATGTGATTTTCTTTGAGAGTCAAAAAAAATATTTTTTATTATAATTCAGATTACGAACAGTCAGAATTATTATACTATATAACTACATTTAATTATATATAACTTATGTACAATTTAAACACTACTTCATTTATTGTATTTATTACAGAAGCTATTTTTATTTTTATTTGTATAATTTTTGTAATTATTAGAATTATTTGAGATGATAAAATAAAGTATTATAATCTCCATAGTATAAAGTATAAGATTTTTTTGTTAATATTATATATTTTTATTAAAAATTCATAATGTTGTTTTTATAAATCTGTTGCTACCAAAAAATTATACTAAATAATTTAATCCATACTGTTTTTAGTAATTAATTATTAATTATATTTTGTAAATTAAATAACCACCGTAAAATTATCACTGTTTTATTGTATTAATTACAAGTATAACAAATAAAACATTTTATATACCGTTTATAATTGCAAAAAAATGGCATTTTCATAAGGGGATTTTATATTATATTAATCATATTACAAGGCCTTGAAATGAATGTCGTATATAGGGTGTATTACCAATCGACGATCCTAATGACCATTTTAACTAGCAGGTAAGAAAATTAATTTACTGCTAATTGTGTTAAGCCAAAATCATAAAAATTCATGAAAGCTCCTGTGTCCCTGCGTCCATGTATATATGCGCGAAAGCGACCAATGATCAATAGAATTGTATTCAGCTGTCATGGCCATAAAGTTTCGAAGGCTTGGCGTATCAGTGACGTTTCGTCGAAATCGCCGAATTTCTGACGCTAAATTTAATGGGGGGCCACTCGCAGATTTCTAACCGCATGTCATTCTTTCAACTTTCACGTATGGATTTCCGAGCAATCGTACCCACGTAGAAGTGCCTATTTCTTCCTTCTTTCAAAATTAACCTGATAACTCTTTGGAATTGTTATGCGAATTTCAATGTTTATCGGTTTTTGCATATCGAACGGCTGTTGATTCATGTCAAGTATTATTACATTTGCGATGGATATGTAATTTCTTTAAACTTGATTGTAATATTGTTGGTCGATTATAATTGTAAATTTGTTCTTTTATCTTATATTTAAGAATGCGAACCTTCTAAATTAACAATTATCAAGATATAAACAAATTTTAAAAAATTCTATAAAATATAATTAATGTTTTATATAATTATTTCTTTTTAAAAACAATGCTTTACCTACATTAATTTATTTTCAGTAATTTTTTAATTTGGATCTTTTTAAGTATATATAGCGCTGCCGTGTTCAAAGACTTTCAACAATTTAGTGGATATGTATTTATTACATTTATTTTTTTTTGCTATGACAGTAGTATATTATATTTGTATAATATATAATTCTATAGATATAGGAAAATATAAAAATATTAAAATAGTAAATCATTTATTTCTATCGAATTTTTTAGTACTGTCATTCGGTTGTTCTCAGTATAATTTAAGAACATAAAAGTATTACCAGTAATGGTTTATTTAAATATTTATTTGATTAATAAAAAGAATTTTATAAATCATAATGATATCTAAAATAAATATAGAAAATTAAAATTTTTGTATTAAAATTGATATAAATCATAACTAATAAATTGTTTCTACTAATATAATTAAAGTACGTAAATGAAAGTTTGCTAAAAAAATTTTATTTCAAAAAGGAAAATTATTTTTTTTAAATAGACATTCCTTCATAAAGATTTCAATTAATATTGAAAAGTATAGTTGAAATAATTTTTCATATATAAAAAAATTTTTTAACAAAAATTAATTGCAACATTATCCAAGAGCAGAAAAAATATTTTTTTTCAAAAATAATATTATTAATCACATGGTAAATTATTAATTATGTAATTACATTATACGAGAAAAAATTAAAAAATAAAATACTCTTATAATTTCACAAAAGAAATATTAAAATATAAAAAATGGATAAATTGAGAATTCGTTGTATCATTAAAAAGATCAGATTATAATAACAATAATTAACTTTTATTAAAAATAATGAGATCAAAAGAGAAATAAAATGAAAGAATTTGTAACTGAACGAAAATATTATTATATTAACTTTTATTATTTATTATAAATTATTAATTATTATATTATTATTATCATATTAACGATATATATTATTAAACATTTAATATATATTAAAAACAATAAATAAGGAAATATTTTTATAAACAAATTTTCAGATTTATTTTATAATACAAAGTATGGAATATTCTAATGCAGACTTGTATTATTTATTTAAACAATTAACAGTTCGAATGAATTCAGTTGAATTGTGAATAATTTTGTTTCAATATAGATTTTAAAAATTAATTGTAAGATTCGTTCAAAACTTTATAATTATGCAATGGCTTTGTATATATTTGAATTTTACAATTCGTGAGAATATAATATTTGCTTTTATCGCAAAAAACAATTAAAAAGCTCATGAAGCGTATTTGAATTTAAAGTATAACAGTTAGTAAATAATGTTAAATAAATTTATTTTTACAGTTTACTTTAAAAAAAGAATGTTATTTAAAATAAAAATTTAGCTAATATTATATTTAAACTTTTATATCTTGTAATACTTAATGAATACTTAAATACTTAAAAAGTAAAAAAAAACAATATCAGGTAAAACTAAAATCAAGGATAAAAATGGCTATAAACCCAAAAAACAAAAAATACCGGTTGCTATCATAGGTAGAATACTAAAGAATTTTATAATGAGACCGTGAAACGTATACGCAGAGGACCACTTATGGCTTTTTTATTTGGGCAGTCAAAATAATCGCCATATATACGTAAATGTACCATCAATATACAATTCACAGTGCATGTAATACTGTTTTAACCGATAATGCGCGATTGTCCGTAAAAGCGGCAGCGTGAGTGCGTGCGCACCGTTAACGGCTATTTTCATGGGTGGATGGTTTACGCTGGTCACCCGAGTTTAATAGAATCACCGGTATATTTCCCGCCTGTGTGCTTATGCATGCATGCGGAGGTGGATAGGCGTGATGGTAACCATAGTTTTTGACCGTTCGCAGCTGTGCACTTCTCTGAAATTTTAGAATAATGTAAGCTGTCGGGGCTAATGATGCTTCTACGTACAAGGAATCGATCAAATTAATGAGATGTGCACGTTTAAAAAGAAACAATAAAATACAATATTTATTTATTTATAAACAATAACATTTAATTTTTTTCATTCGAACATAAAACTGTCGTGAAATTCGGTTCCTGTATTTTCATTTTTTATTTTTTTTAATTTTTTATTTTCATTTATTTTTTTATAAATGAGTTTATAATCGAATTATGTACATTGCTTTAATACCAATGAGTAATATTTCTGGTTATTTTGAAAAAAATTTATAATAATTTTTTATAGTATTAGAAATTGTATTAATAAAAGAAGTTTATGAAATTAATTTACATTCAAATAATTACATACTTCCCGTCATAAATTTGATTAAATTAGAACTAGTTTGCATATGTGTCGAGAACAATAATTCTACACTTTAACTTTCTTTTCTCGTTTGCAATGAAAATGCTAAAAAAAAAAACAAAAAAGCAAATCCTTTTGAAATAAACAGAGATTAACTAGGAGTGACTTAAATATTAGCAAAAGCAGCATAATATTTTTACTGATACTTATATTTTCACTTATA